TCCTAGTGGCAGCTATAGAAATGGATAAAAATAAAATGTTGGGGGGGTTATTTGCATGAATGAAGAATCTACCTGTTCCCACAGGGGTTTAATGGTGGGTATAGAGCCTGGAACGAGGATAAAATTATCTCCACGCTTCGCGGAGGGGGTTCAAACCCCTCGATTCCTCCTCCATTTGCTTCTATAAGGTGTCGTTATATGGGGCTTGTAGAGTCTTTTCTTTTAAGCATGACCAGTAACTTTTTCTCAGAAAAAAACCCCACTCGATTTCTTAAATTAGGCAGTTGTTTATGATCTGCCTGTACTATTTTAATGGTCAGTTCATCAAGAGGACAGAAGGGTTCACCAGCAGCATTTTCAGCCTCAGCTTTCCAAGCGTCCTGCTGCAAAGTACCTGGGAATCTATTTATAGGTTTATTTCTTTTCTTTTTGGCTTGTGTCATGGGCTCTCTAGAAATTATTATCCTCATTATCGCTTTTATTATCTTGTCCTTTCCTGTGACTGAGCTGAAATAGGAAATGGATCATCAAGAAGCAAATCTTTTCCCTTATCAGCCTCCAGGCGCCACGTGGGAAACTCCTGGCGCTGGGTAAAAAGGAAGAATTTTTGGAGATTTTCTTCTTTAAAACTTCTTTCCCTGCAGCCGTGGTAGCCGGTCGCTTCCCTGGGCCACGCTGTGAGTTCGCAGCAGTGTTTCGCAGCCAGAGGTTGCTCATATTAAATAAACATCACAGATTTCTCTGGTGCTCTCGTGTTGCTGCAGGAACTCTTCCATCCTACCGGCTGCATCTTCTCCTCTCCCTGTCTCATCCCAGGCAAAGAGAGCATCCCTCTCCCATCCAAAATCCCTGTGGAGTCACACTGAATGTGTGAACCTCTCGTGGCCGTAGGTGTCTCGAGTGCATCTGAGCTCAGGAGCGATGCTCAGCCTTTATCCACAGCTCAAGGCTGCTTCTCTGGGCTGGCTCCCGAATAAATCCCTGTGTGGTTTATTCATCTCTCAGCCCCGGGGCGTCCAACCCATCCCTGACCCGTGTTCGTCCTTTCTGCCTGGTGAGGACACGTTCGCGCTGGAAATGGGAGGCGGCTGCATGCTGCTCGTGGTCTGGAAAGGAAGCAGCAGCGGGTTTGCACCCCTCTGTCAGCCAGACCCGTGGCTGGAAGCATCTTCTCGGGAACAATTTGGTATTTCAGGTGTTTTTTAAGCTTCTGGGAGATGGAACTTGATGGCAGGACATCCTAGCTGGTGTACAGAGGTGGCAGAAAACCAAACACCCGGAGGACGCATGGGAAGCGATCGGTCCGGCAACCTATATATTGCTTATGTAAAATGACCCTAATGAAGGGGGTTATTCCCCAAACTGGAAGGAGACCTGTCTTTAAACCTGAGTGTGGTCCCCGGGCACTTTCCTTCTGCGCTCAGTTGGGCATCGGGAGAGATTAATGATGGACAAAACGGTGCTGGAGACTTGTTAAAGGAGGGAAGGAGCAGCCTGGAGCTCTGCTGATCATGGGAATGGGGTTAATAATGTTTTTGTCAAGGTATTTGAGGGAATGCAGGATAATTTATTGTGAACTTTTGGATTGATGAGCTTGGGTAGGGCAGGGATCGTGCCCCTGTGCTCGGCACTGGTGGGGCCGCACCTCAAACCCTGTGTTCAGTGTTGGGCCCCTCACGCCAAGAAGGACGTTGAGGTGCTGGAGCGTGTCCAGAGAAGGGCAACGAAGCTGGTGAGGGGTCTGGAGCACAAGTCTGATGGGGAGCGGCTGAGGGAACTGGGGGTGTTCAGTCTGGAGAAGGGGAGGCTGAGGGGAGCCCTCATCGCTCTCTACAACTGCCTGAAAGGGGGTTGTGGTGAGGTGGGTGTTGGTCTCTTCTCCCCAGTAACCAGCGACAGGACGAGAGGAAATGGCCTCCAGTTGCACCAGGGGAGGTTTAGATTTGGAGATTAGGAAAAATGTCTTCACCGAGAGGGTGGTCAGGCATTGGAACAGGCTGCCCGGGGAGGTGGTGGAGTCACCATCACTGGAAGTGTTCAAAAAACGTGTGGCCATGGCACGTGGGGACATGGTTTAGTGGGCATGGGGGTGTTGGGTTGATGGTTGGACTTGATGATCTTAAAGGTCTTTTCCAACTTTAATGATTCTGTGATTCTTTAAAGGAACCTGGCTGCAGCGAGTGTTAATTTAGTAAGAATTGGCCAACTTTTCACCGATCCAGCTGCCTTGAGCAAGATGAAGGTTTTATTGGGGAGTTTCTCTCTGCAAAAGCTGGGCTTTGTGCTTTGTGATGGCTCAGATCCCCAGGCAGCTTCCCGGTCCCTCCTCCGTAGCGTTTGCCTCCTCTCGGGGATGCGAGCGGTGAAGCCTGGCTGGAAGGTCACGCCGTGGAGACGTGTCCACTCATTCACGTGCCACCACTTCCATGCAAAGACTGAATTTTTTGAACAATCGTGGCAAAATCCATCTCCTCCCCACACTGTGATTCACTTTGTGATTACTGTTTTTTTACTTGCTTTGTGATTTTGAACTTGCTGCAAATTTACAGCAGCTCAAGGCAGGATTAAATGCTGTTTAATGTGGATTTTTGCTCTTTATTTTGCTGCTGGAGTCTTTTAAAGGAACAAAATGCTGATTTATTCATGCCGTGTCTGGCAGACAGCAAGGGCTGCAATGCACTAGTTAAAAGGGATGATCACGGATGCTGCCAGCAGTGTCACCCCTGAACGTGCATTACAGATACCGGTGGTTGCTGCAATCCTTGTGAATCCAAAAAGAAAGTGCCACTTTCTGCTATGTCCGTGCAGCCAGCGAGGGTTTGCATGCTCCGTTTGGCCGTTATTTGGGGGAAGAAGAGCTGGTTTTCGCTCGGGCTGCACATTTGTGAGGCTTGCACTGGAGACCTGGGTTTGTGGTTGCTTTTCTTGCATGAAGAATGAGATGAATTATAAGGGAAATTGTGGGCTTTCTGAAGGCGAGGTTGTATATTGCGGGGTGCCCGGGGGCAGCTGGGCATCACCTATGTGACTTCCCAGGTTTGCAGTTCCCCTCTTGCAAGGAATTGCAATCAGCATCTGCCGTGTCTTTCTTCCCCTTTAATACTGGTGCTTTTCCCCTGTTTATGAAGACATATAAAGCCCAAAAGCTTTTTGGGGCTTGCTCTCTTGGAAACGGTGGGGTTTTGCTACCTGTGGACCTCATCTGATGGAGCGTTTGAAAGCCGCATTCAGTCATCGTTTTTCTAATAGCCAGGTACAGCCGGCATCCCGGGGACTTCTGCACAACACGCCCGTGTCTGTTTATAAATCGGATATCAAAGCTGGATATTAAATGTTAGCCTTGATTTCAATATGCGTGGAGTTGTATTGCATAAACCTTGCCTTTTATATCTTGACTTGACAAGCTGTACGGCAGAAATTGAGACTGAAAGAAGGAAATCGAGCGGGGGACAACATCGGTGCATGGTGTGTAATGGCCAAAGCGCTCGAAAGAGCAGAAAAACATCTGGCAACCTGCACGAGGGGTCTCTTAGGTTAAAATTCTTCATTTCTTGGACGAGCTGCAGAGTTGATGCTTTCAGAGGAGCCTCCCATCAGTTTGGCAAAAAGAAAGGCTCTGCGTGCTGCGTCCTGCTGATTTTTAGGTGTTTTTTGGCGTGCTGGTTTGCGAGTCCTAGTCATGCCCTGCTTGGTAAAACCATGAACCGTGATGCCTTGGGCTTCCTCCAGAAGCAACCCCATTTTATATCAGTTTGGATGCATGCAGCGTTTTTGCATATCATCTCTGCCTATGAGATAACAGGTGCTTGGTTAATTGTATTCCTTAATTATATGGGATTCCTCGCCTAATTATACCTGGCCCGTTATGAGCTGATGTAGCTGGTGATGAAAGCGGTGCTGCTCTTCCAGTGGGACCACGCTAGCTGGCTCTTAGCAAATAAGCATGGTGCAAAACTCATTGGGGGGTGGCTAATTAAAAACCTCGATGGTTTGAGGCGTGAAGTGGTGTTTTGCTGCAACGCTGCCTTGGTTATGCTGAGCTTGGGAAATAATTTCTGGGCATACGGGTCCCTGCGCTACCTGTCTTTGTAAGCAGGCTGTTTGAATAAACCAATGGTCAAAGTGAATATCGTGGCAATAAATTACCTCTCTCCCCGCTTTTTATTTTTTAGCTTACTTTTGGATTTTTAGCTAGTTACCATGGCAACTTTCCACCTTCCTTTTTCTGGTGAGTCTCCAAAAGTCACTGATGGAGGTAGCCTTGGGGAGATAAGTGTGAGCTGAGCAGAGCTTTGCTCTCCATCCTCTGCAAAGTCAGATGCGATGCCTGATGGGACCTCTCAGATAGGGACCAAAGCATTAGGAGACTGATGCATGTGGCCTGCAAGAACATCAGTTCTTAGTTTTAAGTTGTTTGCTCCATCAGGACATTGATTTCCAGCCTAAATTTGTTGCCACGATCAGTTCCGGTAGAGGCATGAGTTATTGCCCGTACTCTGGTGGATGGATGATCCTCCACTGGATGCTCAGCTTGGAAACGTTGGTGTTCAGCCAAGCGCCAGCATCCCATCACAGGGGGATGCAGCGCACCTGTATCTACCCAGAGATAACATTTACTCCCACTGCATCCTTTTTGCCCATTTCCTCATGCAGAATTTGGCCATTCAAATTACATCTGGTTTCTTTTTCAATCCTTCCTTTCCTTCCTTTCCTTCCTTTCCTTCCTTTCCTTCCTTTCCTTCCTTTCCTTCCTTTCCTTCCTTTCCTTCCTTTCCTTCCTTTCCTTCCTTTCCTTTCCTTCCTTTAAATTGCTTTCCTTGTTAGGACCAAGATCATTGGAAGAGACTTGCAGCTCCCTGGGGAGCTCGTAATGAAATGATCTGATTTCTAAGTGTTTCAAAGTAGCGCTCAGTTTCCAGGTCTCCCTTGTTGCGGTTAACCACTGACAGACGACGCAGCCTGACTTGGAGCAGGGCTAATCCTTCCCTTTCTCTTTTCAGTTCTTCTGGGTCCTTCTGGTGATCTTCCTCACGGAGCTTCTGCTGATATTCATTGAAATCATCTTTGAAAACAAGGTGGGTGCAATCAGGAGGCCTTTGGATGCTGCATGGCAACGAACTGTCATCGGGGAGGAAAATCCTCAAGTATCTGTTAGCATCTGCCCTGAAAATGGAAGGTTTTCACTGCTCTTGGTCTTTTGGCACTGCTCGTTCTGCTCCGGAGCTGCGATGGATCTCCAGCACCACCCAGAGCCCCCACCGCAGCTGCTCCCCGTGCAGATTCTCAGCCAAAAATCTGTTGCGGCTTGTTTTTGTGTTTTTTTTTTTTCTTGAGGACTCCTTAAGCTCCTTGCCTCAATTACGTTAACTGCTGGCTTGCATTTGCAAGGACAGGTTTGAGTTATAGCTGAGCTGGTGAGACGCTAAATGCTTCCAACGGATGTCCTTTCTGGCCTCCCGCCTTCTGCTGAAGAAACCCTGCCATTTTCAATTTAATCTTATCCTTGCAATCGATCAAATGATTAAATAGCTAATCTCAATCTCTGTTGGCTCAATGAAGGCACAGGGCAGGAGAACAACAGCTGAAATACCTACTTACGGGCTCTCAAAATCGATTCCCCTTCGCGCACACAGCTTGATGCTTTCAAACCCATCAGGGTTGCAGTTGGGGTTGGGAGTTGTGTGCTTGGTGAGCCCCAAAGACGGGTTGGGGTTGGGAGTTGTGTGCTTGGTGAGCCCCCAAAGACGGGTTGGGGTTGAGAGTTTGTGAGCCCCAAAGTCGAAGGGAGGCAATGGAGGAGGACATTGCCTTTTGGATGCTGCAGCCAACTCCATCCAGCAGCTTCCCAGAGCTCCCCGAAACCCTCTGATCCCTGAAGAATGCGGTGCACCGGTGCACTGGTGGAGAGATATGCTTGTTGGAGGAAAATCAGATTGCTTGAGTCCTTTCCATGTATAGGAAATCAATATGTGCTGCCACGTAGGAGCTGTATTTTTGTGAAATTCAGCATTAAATCCCCTGCTTGCTCTACCTTTGAGCCTTGATGATGGTGCTCAGCACCATCCTGCACTGCAGGGATGCAACGGGGAAAGGCTGGTACCATCAGGAGAGGGGATTGCAGCCTCGTGATTAAACTCCTGGATTGAGTAGAAACCATTACCGCCTAAATTGTCCCTTAATTTAAATTTAACGGGCAATATCAAAACCTAATTAAAAATCAAACAATGAGGGAAGACAGAAAAGAGAGATCCGACAAGCGATGAATCTACTTGACCTAAAATTGTTCGGAGGCACAAATCTGCATTTGGAACAATGGTTGTTTATTAAACTTGTTAAAAACATATTTAATTGGATTTTATATTAAATAAGCAGGGATGAGGAATGAATTTAGCGACCTCGAAGCTACTGAACATTGAAATGGGCTCTGTTGATATGCAAATGGGGTTTTGGAGATTGTCGGAGATAACGGGTTTGTTGTCCTTGAAGGGAAGGAAGCAGAGAGGTCTCATAACCAAAACTTAATGATTTAACCCTGTGACATTTATCTCCCACCTGAAAATCAAGATTTAATTACAGAGACTGCCTCCGGGCTGGCATCTTCTCAGAGAGCAATAGGATCATGGGGTGAGCCTATCCGGGGGAAAACAAGCAGAAAACGGTAAAACCCGGGTGTTGCCTGTTGTGTTGGTCTTAGCAGTGAGCAAACCAGGAATTAACATTTTAATAAACTTCCACATGAGCAATTTCTTAAAGGTTTTTTCAGATCCCCTTGCCTGATCCCTCACTGTCGGCAGGCTTTGTTTGCTGCTCTGATGTGCCTTCATTTCTGGTTTTTTTCACATTCTTCTCCCCGTTCCCGGTTTGCCCAACCTCTAATTTTCATGTCAGAGTGAATTATGAAAAACAACGGTTTCTTCTCCCCGCTTCCCCTGCTTCTAACTCAGAAAAAAGTTCCTTTTTCCTTCATTAATATTTCTGCTTGGCGCTTTGTCAGGAGTCAAACGACAAACCTGCGCTGGGCTTTGCATAGGACATTTCGAGCCTCCGCTCCCAGCTCACTAATGAGCTTCCCAGGCATCTGTAAAATACATTTTCGATTCAATTAGTGTTTAATGTGAAGTGCCTGATGTGTCAAAGCGTCCTCGGCGATACGGCTTGAAGGAGCAGTAGGGAGAGCCCCAGCCCGGCTGCACCGTTCCCTTTCAGGGCACGATTGAATTGCTGAATGATTTGTTGGGATTTGGAGTGATTGAGGGCTCTGATGAGGTCTCCGCTCCTACACGAAGCTCATCTCGCGGATAAATCACCGTGCAGCCGGCGGTGTGGGCTGTCACAGCCCGTTTCACCGCCTCCAGCCCCTCCTAATGCAGCAGAACCCCCCTGCCAGTGGTTAAAATCCTGTTAGTCAAGGGGATGGGAGAGCTTGAGGCAGCTTTTGAAGAAGTCACCTTAATAATTCAATTTAATAGGAAAAATGGGGTGGGTAAAGGTGCGTGGGTCTGCTTGCATGTGCAGGAAATGGAGAGATGCTATGGGACGCTCCTAACCCTGAGAGCTCAAAAACGATGAATTTTGCCCCAAGAAATAGGCTTGAGCCAGCATGTGGGTTAAATTCTTACTCCGGCAATACTTGCCATGAAAAAATTTTCATGTTTTGCAATATTTTCCCGGTGCCTTTTCCACATGAGAGCCATGTTTTTGGTTTTTTTCTGTCTCCAGATGAATGCAGTTTTCCACTCCAATATCCAAGAGGGCATCAGACATTATTACGATGACCTTGACTTCAAGAACATCTTGGATTTTGTACAACAAAAGGTTTGGTTTCGGAGGGCGGGTGGCATCGGGGAGGTCTAGTTGTGAAGATTTTCAAAGAGCGGTTAAATGCTCATTTTCCCTGTATTTTTAGATTTTATTCCCATTCCTAGGGCGACCTACTTGATCTATCTTGAATATCTTGGTCTTCCTTGGTTTGCACCCCACTGGTGTTTTCGGTGAGTTATTCTGCTGCCTGTGTTCCCTGCAAAGAGCATCTTCTGCTCCACACCACGGCGTGGACCGTACCAAGATATTTTTATTTCCCAATCTTGATGGGAAACCGCTGCCCAACGCCTGAAAGCTTTTTGATAGCTACACCAACCTGCATAGAGAGAATAAAATAGCATGTGCTAGGGCTGCAACAACCTTCGATATGTCTCTTTACTCGAGGTGTCATCAGTAGCTGGCCAAGCACTTGACTCAAGCGGAAAATTGCAGATAAGGGGTTTTCACGCAGTAGCTGGAGGGAGAGAAGAGCTCCAGCCTCTCCGTTGGCAGCACCGGGGGCAAACTGCTCCTGGGACTGGCAAGAGTTACATCCAGTCCAAGATTGCGGCTTGGCGTAGCCTGCTTTAATTTTTTTTAGGTGTGTGGTTGCATATTCTGTCTCGTATCTAATGCCTAGAGCCTGCCAGGAGTTGGCAGGATCCGTCCCCTATCCTCGAGCCAACCAGCAGGTCGATAAAGCCATCCTTGCAAACCTTATTTTTTTTTAACCAAACTTTTGATAAGCTGCTGCTGTTGCCACGTATTTTACACACCGTGTAGTTTGTCTGAGGTACTAAATATTAAATTAAAATGCCTTCCTAATTCCTGCCATTGAGCCCTGGCTCACGTGTTTCCCTTTTATCTTTCCAAACCCAAGGTAGGCGCCCTGCAGCAAAGCAACGATGCATCCCCCCCAAGTACATCGAAAAGCCAAGTCAAGTCAGGATTTGAAGTTATTATCCACGCCGATAAGCGTGTGGCCGGTCAGGACAAGCTTGGTTGGCTCTAACGTATTGTTTGGTTTTTCCAGTACTGCTTGAGAAGCCATTCCTGGGAATTTGGGAGGTGTAGGTTTGCTCATGTTTTGAGTGAGGATATTTGGTTTACCCATTATTCGTGTTATTGCGGGTGGGAAGCACTTGGCTCGAAGCATTTTGTGAATGAAAAAAAAGTGGAAAAACCCAAAAAACTTGAGATCTAGGAGGGAAATTGCAGTGATGTTACGTCTTCCGGGTTGGTTTCGGAGAGCAGAGCCAGGCTTTGCCAGCAAAGCTGCTTTCAGGTGAACTTTGAGTGTTCTCACCTTGGCCTGATTTCTCTCCTTTCATTATGGGAGATCATAAATACGTGAATCTTATCTCTTGCTTTGAAGAAAGGGAGACTGTGAAGCTCCTTATTCTTTGATGTAGCTGGAATTTAACGCCAGTGGTGCCCTCCATGCTCCCCTCTCTTGTCTTAAATCCCCGCTTTTGACTCTTGGAGTCATCGATACTCAGCCGAGCACATTAATAAGACTGGGCGCCCTCTGAAGGTCTCAAGGCACGACTGATTCTGAGAAAGATCTGAATCTTTTTCAAGTTTTACTCCAACCTCTCTAAGAAGATGCTGTAATTCAGACCTCTCTGTATGAATGATAAATGGATGCTGCCGCGAACAGTCGGAAAGTCCATGTTGGAGCCTTCCTCAACAAGCCTTGGCAAGGAGGTTAGACCACAAATCTCCAGATAAAGCAGATGTATTTGCAGAAAGATTTCTCCATCTCCAAACAAATGAGGATCAGGAACTTATCATGTAATCTCATGCCATTTTTACAACATTTTCCTGTCTACTTCTTCACTTGACTTTTTATTAAAAGTTTTCAGGGGGAGATCTTATTCTCAAAGTCTCGCTCTGTACTAATAGAAGTTGTGGTCACTTACAGTGTTGCTGATAAGTCTTTAACATCTGCACATTTTATTTTGTAGCGAGAGAAGCTTTGCAAGACCATGCAGCTCATTGCTGTGAGCTTTTATATTAGCGTATGATTTCCAAACCAGGAACAGCAGCGATGTCGGCGACTGAAATGCAGAGTTGCTGCTTCCTGAGGGTAGGACCAGGGAGAAGCAACGCAGAGGAATAACTGCTTTTAAGAGAAGGGAAGTCGGTTTTACAGGACCTGAGCAGCCTGTTCACTTTGAGAGGATGAAAACTTGCAGTCAGTCTGGAAGAATTGCACCCAGACATGCTTTTTTGATAAAACACAAGCTCAGAGCAGCCTGTTATCATCATTTAGTGGTTTTTCTTGCTATTTTCCCTATTAGAAACCTTGTCTATGCATAGGTTAGCTGGCACACAGCTTATTTAGGTCGGGCAAGACCACACTATGCTCCTTAGGATTTGAATTTTGTTTAAACCCTCTCTCAAGCGATGCTTTGAACTAGAGCCAACTGCCTTCACACCCTTAAGCCAGTATCATACAGTAAAAATAACAAGTAATTATGGTCCAAAGTGCCAGACATTAATATTTTACATTACCAGGATGATGGTGCAAATAAGGTTGACAGGAAAAATAATTTACCTGTCAACACCTACTCCCTCTGGCTGCCTGTGAGCAAGTAGATACAGAAATAAATTGCCCTAAAGAAAATAATACTTACATGTTTTTATGACTCGTTGTTGCTGAACTACTGCCTTTTGCAGCCCCTGGACGCGAGGCAGGAGACCACGATGACTCAAAAGCCCAGGCTTGCCCCAAGTTGCTAACTGCAGCTCTCTGCCGCTCCTCGCTTTATCTTTTTTTAATGGTTTGCTGAGTACAGGTGGAAGAGGAGAGTTCAAACCCCTTGGCTGAGCACAGGATTTGAATTTCAAAGAGCTGCCGGGGCTGCGGGTCTTGCTCAAACCCGAGTGGCTCCAAACTCAAAGTAAGGCTGGGAGGGATGAGGGTGTTGCACTTGCAAACCTCCTTTCTTCTTGGGGAAGATTAAAGACATCTTTCACCAGCGTGGCTCATTCGAGCGTGTTGCATCGAGGGCGATGGTTTTAGCCGTAACGAGCCCGCATCTCATGGGTGGCAGCAGTGAGTGGTCCTCAACATGGAGAGCGCCTCAGATGCGACCTACAGGGCCGTTTCCATGGGCCCTCTTTGATTTTTCAGCTTCTTATGCTTCTCTGAGCTCCAGGAGCCTGCATGAAAATAAAACCCACACCAAAGTCTGTCTCAGCTTATGAGAAATAAATCCAGGCACAACAGTAGTTTGGGTGAAACCTCTCTTTGCAGAGAAGAAACCCCGGAGTGGCTTCCCGGCAGCTCGTGGGCCTCATTAGAAGGATTTTGTACCAATTTTTGCGTGGTTATAAAGGCAAATGGAAAAAACTTCTTTGCAGCATGGGGATATCAAATGGGTAGCAACAGCCAATATCCCTTTCAGTGTTTTTCTCCCCCTCTTTCTAGGTGACTTTTGCAAGCTGGTCTCCCTCACTGATACAGGTAGGGTTAAAAGCAATAGAGGAATTAAAGGTAGGAAGTTAGAAAATAGTTGTAAATCTGTGGGTTGGCTGCTCCTGGCCATATCTGCCTGTTTTGGCATGGGAGGAGGCCACGAAGACCCCAAGAGCTGATGCCTTTTCCTGCTCCCGTTGGCCAAGTATTGCTGCCAACCCATCACAGGAGGGGGAGCAGATGCTCACAGGGTTAAACCTCTCTCAAAAACTGATCCTTGAGGAGTGTGGTCCTTAAACAAATGGGAAAAACCTGGGGGTTTTCTGTCTTATCAAGCACACACACCTCTCCTGCCCACTTCAGGCTTTTCTTTCTGGGGGAAGAATGTAAAGATTCAAGCTTGTTTACCAAGAGAAGGGATGACTCTCTATATAATAAGCCCACTTTTATTCTGCACAGAACAGAAAATGACTTTCATTAAACTTTTTTTTTTTTCATTGTGCGAACAGAAGAAAAAAGAAGCTTTTTTCCTTTGTAGCTGTAGCATTTGATCTCTAATTTAACTTGACGGGAAGAGAAATCCCTGTTAGACTGCGGAACCTTATTAGCATTTTGTCGAATGGCACCAACTAGCTGAGCTGCCTTCAAGAGCCAAGAAATACATTCATTCACAGCGCTGAAAAAGCCATCTCTCCTGCGTGCCCTGGGAATAGGATGGATTAGTCACCTGTAATTAAATCAGTGAAACATGAATGAGCCTGGTCTTTCCTGGGTTTGTGAAAGTAAGGATGCCTCCAGTACACGCGTGTATGCCTCTGTAACTGCCACACACCTCTAAAATGGGGATAAATGGGGCTAAACACCCGCTTTTCTTTTTTTACACGGTGTCTTCAACTTTGTGTTTAGGGTGCTGGAAAGCAGAAAATAATCGGGGCTCTCAACGCTGGTGCTGCAAAGCGGCGTGGGAGATGCAGGGCGAGGCTGGAGGGGAGATGCGTTAGTGGGCTGGAGATGTCAAGGTTTGTTCAGTTGCATATGTCTCCTTTTCTTCTTTTTGTAGTTTTCTTGCTGCGGCGGCGATGAGTACCGAGACTGGGAGGTTAACCAGTACCACTCCTGCAACGGCAGCGGGCCGCTGGCATGTGGGGTGCCCTACACGTGCTGTGTCAGGAAGGTAAGGCAACCAAGGCACAGAAAGTGCCTTTATTTCAGTCAATATTTCAACAAAACACGCCCTTCCAGCTGGTTATTACTGCATATTTCCGGGCTATAGGGTTTCTTATAAACTGCATTGCCACCTTGCAAAGCGGTTTGAGACAGCATCAGCGTGAAATGCTGAAGAAACTAAAAAATATGTATATGGGCTACACTGTAGTTTAGTAGGCTCTGCTCTTTTAATGTAGAAAAAATACTGAAGTACCGGGCTATTAATCACATTTGTATCATGCCGAGGAGTTGTTAGAAATGCCGAGTTCCTGTTTTTCAACCTAATGTGTGTTATAAAATGGTTTTGGAGGATCGTTTTGCAAAGAAACAGGAGCATCTTGAAAGGACTCGGCTGCATCTCAGCATGGATCCAAACGAGCTGTTGTCCTCTGCTTCCCTGTCCAAGAGGACACGTTTCTCAGCCGGCCACTGCGGGGTTTAGCGATATATGGGGATCACGTTTGCTGGCGTCTGCTCCTAACAAGGAGATTTTTGAGGGTTTTGCTGCAAATGAGGCCACGAGAGGTATTTGGATAGACCCACCCATGTGCAATGGAATAAAAAAAAGCCTCGTGAGCAACTGCCCTTGCAAGGCTGCCTTTCCGACATGCTGTGAGTTGGGTTGAGCGGAGATGGAGAGAGGGGGGAGTGGATTTACAGAGCCATTAGGGTCTCCTGTGCTGATTTTCAAAGCTGAAAATCAAGACATCCCAAACAGCACTTTTCTGCTGAGACTAAGCTAAGTGCTCTGACACCGTCTTGTTTAATACAACCATCCGCCTCATTGCAATCAGTCTAACACATGCTGTGGATAAAACGCCAGGAGCTGGGCCAAGGCAGCGGAGAAGTGGTGCAAATATCCCTGGCTTCAGTGGCCAGAAATGCTATAAATGTTGCTAAAAAGGATTTACTAGGCATAATCCTGGTGGCAAAACCTCCTTGGGGTTCAGAGCATCAGGAGTATCGGTGTTGCCTCTGAAACCTGGCTGTGCCCCAGGCGCTACGAATTGCACGAGGAAAATATATCATCAATCTAGTATTGTTGTTGGGTTTTTAATGGAAAAAGAGGGAAATCTGAGGTGTCTTAATTATCAGTGGAAGTCTGACATGCAAATCAGCTGCAAAAATAATTGTCGTGTCTAATCAGGGCGTTGATTAAGAATCTTAAAGTTCCTGAAGATGGAATTAGAAATTCATGTGTTGTCCTTTTGTATTACGAGTGAGGATGTGTTGGAGGGAGTCAAGTGCATTTTTCAGTATTTTTACACTCCCCACAGTTTTGGGTGACAAGAGACCTCAGTGCATCAGGCAGTGTTGGAGATACAGGAAATCACAGTTGATTAATATAGTAGGGTAAGAAACAAGGCAACTTTTTGGCTTCCCATTGCAATGAGCTGGGTCTGGCGGATGCTCTAGCAAAGCACTGGAGCAGCCAGTCCCTGGGAGGGAAAGTCCACGGTAAATCCTGTACATTTTTTTCAAGAATTAAAGCCTATGAATGTGGTTCTGACAGCCGGAGCAGTTTTATGGGAAGCGAGACCTCACTAATGCATCTAAATCTCCATGAGAAATGAAACCTGTTCCTGGGGAGAAGAGTTACCAGGTGGATAGATGTAGCCTCTTTCTTTCAGAGATTTGATTTTTGACACTGCAGGGCACTTTTGGTTAAGAAATCAGGCCGATGCAATATCAATAATACATGAAATGGATTAAAAGAGCCAGCTCCCTTGGGAGTTTTTTACTGTCTGTGACATAAACTAAATTTTTATTAGCTTGTTTTAACAATAGAGTGAACCCCCCATAATTGCATTTTGTGTAAGCTCCAGCACATCCCTATTTGTAGGTGAAATTGCAAAGTTGTCGTGGGGGCTTTCCTTGCGGGCTGAGAAGGTGGAAGAAGCACCTCTGTACCTCGGGATGAAGAAGGTACCTGTGTGTGATATTCTGGCCGTACCTGGTTGGGTCTTAGCGACGTGCAAGCCCTGCTGAAAACCCTTTCCACCACCATATGTTACTTAAGGGCTGAAGAGAAGTTCTAGCATTGGCCCAGCAGTTGGAGGGATAACCAGGGACCACCCGGGCACGTGTATGAATTCTTCTGTGTGGGGTAGAGATGAATATGATGGTCTCTCCTCTGTGAATAACCTTTTTATCAACCAGTTATAAAGCCACTGGTTTGTAGGGCAAGAAACCCGTCTTTGCTTGTGTCCTTCTCTATTTGTGCCGTCATGACTGAACAGTGGAGAGCGAAGCATCCTTTTGTCTTAGAGGACCTTCAAGATTTAAGTAGAGAGGTACCAGAAGAGGTCATTTGGAAATGTAATATTGTGGAAAGAACAAAAGATGTTAGGAGCGATCTCGTCTGAACAAAGGAGCGCAAAACACGGATTAGGGGTTTGGTTGCAACATGTTTTCAACTTGTCATTAAATACAACCATAAAAGCATCCTGTTTTCCAAGAAAATTCTTTTTGTATTACAAGACCCTCCAAAAGCTTTGTGTTGCATCCCCTGGGGCATCTTCCAGGGCAGGCTGAGTTGCATTAATGAGAGCAGACATCCTCCAAAAATGCCCTGGCTATTTTGAAGAGTCTCATCTCTGAGGTCATAGACCTTCAAGTCTTCCTGGGAAGAAGGAATGGGCAAGTACACACCTACCTGAGGGTTTGAGACTGGATCCTCATCTCTAAGTGCTTTTCTAAATGGTTCTCCAAGGCACTTGTGCCTTCTCCCGGGAAGCTGCAGCATAGTTGTGCCTCTGCAAAGCGCAGTGTCTCCAAACCCCTTGTCAAGTGTCACATTTGGCACTGATTTTCGAGAGGAAAGCAGCTGATTAAATAAGAAGTGCAAGGATTGCTGTCTTCTGCCCTCGGTGGGTTTTAAATGTCTGTGCGTGTTGCTCTTTTGTGATCCCTGAAGGCATCAGAATGCATTCTGGACGAAGAAGGCCTTCTGCCTGGTTTTGTGTTAGAAATTTCAACTCAGCTCTGACCTTCTCTTCCATGCAAGACCTTGACAGAAGTCAGTCAAGGCTAAAACCTCACTTTTCTGTCTTCCACGTTTCTCTCAAATACAAGGTGTTGAGGAAATTACTCAAGCAGACGGGCAGGACTGGAGACAACTGAGAAGCCCTTGGCTATTTAACACAAGAAGGAAGAAAAGTGGTGATGAATTTGTGCCGTAGCCAGATGCCTTCAAACGATGAGCCTGATGGAAAGCAATGGTGTTTCACCAGCAAGGATCCCATGATGTCCACAAAAATGAGTCTGAAAAGCAAGGACAACTGAAAGCTATCCAAAAAATGGTTTATGTTTTTTAATGTAAACCAAATAGACAGATCCTTGGTCATGTACAGGTTCCTTTATGCCACTATAGGTGACAGCATTTACCTTAAGAGCGTTACAGACTCCCCTTATGCTGAGGGCTTCCCATTTCATGGTCCCAGCCCTGGATGAGATCTCTCTCAGCGATGCTGATGGGTGCTTTGCTGCTAATCTCCAGATTTCCCTACAAGTCTTTCATATGCACGGGGACTAATTAGTCTCCGTAACTATGCCCAGTTTGTAAATAGTGTCTTGAAGCAATGAGAGATGGGATTTTTGGTAGCACTGTGAGTAATGTGGTAGGTACAGAAGCTCTTGGTAGGGTAGCGCTGGAATAATTTCCCTGCCAATTACAGGAGGAACAAGCTGCAGCTTTACGTCTGGAGTCTGTCCAGAGGTGCACATTTCTTTTGTGCTGCGTCTTGCGGGAAAGCATAATTTACACCTAAATGTGCACATTTCGCTTTTTCATCTCTGTGCCTCCAAAGCACGGGATGTTTTTGTTTTCTTGTCCAGGAGCTTTTACTGGTTGTCAAAGCCATCTTTCTGAAAGCGTAATAATTTCAGCACGTTATTATTTTATGGGCACAAGGCCCCTTTAGAAATACGTGGTGTTACGGAAGCTGCTGTTTGATCCATGAAACAAGCCAAAAAAGCCCATCAGAAGATCAATCTGGAGAGGCGCAAAGTACCCAACTAGCTCAGGATGTGCCGGAGCTACTCTCTGGCTTTGCTTTTTTTGGGATGAGCAAAAATCAGTTTTGTAACCCAAAATGTAGCACTTTCCATCCTGACAGAAGCAGAGGAATTAAGTTTGATTTTATTTTATAAAGGTCCTGAATAGCAGTGTTTGGCAGGGATTTCTCTCATTAGCTGTAGCTCTTGACACATTGTTGTTGGCCAACAAGAGATGTAAGCCTTGGTGATGTCTAACATCCTTACTTTTCTCCTCTGAGTGGTGGAAGATTTTGGGGAAATTATCCCCCTTGATTTCTGGAGAGTCCAATACATTTAATCCCTGTGAAATTCCCATTATTATGAAGGAGAGACATGACTGAAGGTGTTAGAAGTGGTGTCTGGAATTAAACAAGGAGAAAATTGAGGGAACGTTTTGAAAGAGCTTCTTTGCTAAATGCTCGCATGACATGGAGGTCGTCCCGGCTCAGAGCACTGGAGAAGCTTTGGGGGAATCTGAGCATCCTCTGTAACAGCAGAAGCCAGAGAGAAAAGTAGATTTAAAAAAAATAATTAAAAAACCCAAGAACTTACCGGCAACGTGCAGTTTCAGCATTGCATTTGGGCAAAAAGGAGCCCGCGGTAGCAAAGCAAGGTTTGAGGGTTGCTGCTTGGCTTGTGCTACGCTGAATGGTTGAGGCAACTGGGCGAGCTCTTCTATGTCTTATTTTTTATTCTTATTTCTTGTATTTCCCCTTTTGGTTTCCTCCAAGCTAAGTCTGTTCACCAATTTTCTGTTCTCAGGTCCCTGGGGAAGTCATTAACACCCTGTGTGGATACAGGACGCTTGATAAAGAGGTAATGTTGGCTTTTTTCCTTCGCACGAACGCGATTTGCTTCTCCTTCCCCAAACCCCCTAAACCAAAACAGTTATCTGCAGGTAAGCTCTTCCCACCAAGGATGGCTGATACTGCAGCTGTGTATAAATTAATTTTCATTGCTTTTCTCTGGCATCTCGGGGATGTTGCTCAGGCTCACACAGCACGGGCAGGCTCGTGACATGTTTGGGTAGTCCCTGTAGGTTTTGGCGTGACCTTTCTGGATCAGCTCCAGGAAATGCTGGTCCCGAGTTGTGTTTTGAGCCTTGGTGGTAGGAGAGAAGTTGATCTTGAGGCCTTCGGGGGTGACCACGGGGCTATATCGCAGCAGAGATCTGCAGTCTCTCTGTGCATATGGTCCGTAGCTCCCAGGGACAGTTTTTTGGCAAGAAAATGCAGTCCAATCCAAGAGATCAGTTCCCAGACACTTCTCATGCCCCTCCTTTGCTTTCAAGAAGGAGCAAACACAGGAAATAACATTTCCCCACAAACCCAACATCTCCCTGAAAACCATGATGCTTCTCTTCACTCTTCTTCCAGCGCCTGGAGCTGCTCAGCGTCATCCACGTGCGAGGCTGCATCCACGCCGTCGGGCTCTGGCTCAAAGACAACTTCGAGGCCACTTTGGGCATCGTTTTCTCCTTGCTGCTTCCACAGGTACGTGGTGGATCTGGTCGGCATCCTCTTGGCTTCTTTCACTGTGCTGGAGGAGGAAAATAATTAATTTTTAGTTATTTTTTCCCTCCGTTTACATCTGAGATTTGTGTCTTGGGCTGCAAACATCACAGCGCTTTCTAGAGCATCCTTAGCAAAATTAACTGTTTACGACTGCAGTGCTGGCTGTCTCGTAACGCACTCCTGAAATCTAATTGTTGATCCAGTAATAGCATCTAAAAGCAAGGCACGCATATATTAGCACAGCAAATCCTTTTATATTTGTTTTTACAGCTCTTTTCAAATGGAGTGTAAATATTAACCAAAATAAACCATAATCATAAATTTAGCAGGATTTGCCATGCCTCATGAAATCCATTTCCCATTAATGATGTCTGAGAATCCAAGCAACTTTCCAGCACAGGTAATTAAGCTCTTCATCACAGATGCTCGATACAGAGAGAAATTTTAGGTTGCAGCTGGGGCTACCCCTTTGCAACACTGTTGGCACTGTGCTAGCAAGAAGGTGAACATCTCTCTTAGGTCCATCCAGAATTATTTGTGACAAAACTTCGATGATGTAGTGTTGATTTGATCCTTTTTTGATTCCTTTCGAGGCTCACAAGCAAAAGCTTTCTTTTTATCTCATTGGATGTAAGGCTGGGTTTGCTGCTGGAGGTATTTGGTGACACTTTCCAGATATGGGGTTTTATCTAAACGGGAATGAAATTATTTTAATTTTTTATGTGTTTCTGCTTGCAGTGAAAGGTAGAATAGTGGTTGAATAAAGCAGAAGCTGTTGGGGAAATATGTGGCGCCTTGAGCTAATTTTTCAAAGGATGGACTTTCCTCTTGAGCTCGCAGATGGTCCAAATATAAAACCGAAATGGGGGAGCAGTTTGTGCCCAATCCTAGCTGTGATGCTCCACGTTTCTAAAGTGCTTTCTCCAAAGCATGCAAATGAGCAATGGACTTCTGCTGTGCTACCGCAAGGGGCACAAAAATGGGGCAAGAAAGTGCCGTAACAGAGGCGACCGCTTCCATCTGCCTCACAGGATGTCGAGAGCCCATTACAGGAGCCGCCTGTTGCGTTACCCATTAACCTGCCAACATGATGCTCTTAACTGGGAAGGATGGGGAGAAAAACCAGAGATGGCAATAAGGATTGCTGAGCCTTGATGAATATCAAGTGCTTTTGAGCAAGCGTTGTGATTTTTCTGACGTGCCGTTAAATGCTCTTCAGATGAAGAACCTCGTTCTTCCCATCTGCTCATGATTTCCAGGTTTTTAAATATAAATCGGATTTGATTCTGTCAAGTTTTGGAGGGAATTAAGTTGTAAATGGCCATCTGTGTTGCCAGGAGCTGTCAGCCCAGAAACAGCTTCATTCCCAGCAGCTGCCAGCAGAAAGCTGGGGTGAGGATATTGTACTTGGATTGCTGATCCAAGAGGAAAGGGGGTGGTGCCGCTGACATGGGGAAGTGACAGTGCCTTGAAGTTTGGGGAGAGTAATCGTATTGACCTGTCCCACCTTTGGCCCTTGGCTATTTGTCACGCACAGGACACATGCCTCACTATGGAGTTGCAAACCACCTTGGTGGAAAACTTGCAGGATGCTGGGGAGAAGGTTGGGACCGTGATCCACAGCCCAAATGAAGCTTTGGGTTTTGCCCAGTTTTCCTCAATACTTTGGTATTGCCCTTCCTTCAGCCTCATCTGTGATGATGAGCAGCTCGAGGCCTCAAAGTTTGGGGATTTGAATTCGGCTGATGTTCATCACATCTGAGTGTCTAAGATTTGTACTTGGATTTGGGGTAAGCAACTGGCTCTTTTTGTGCAGACAGAAAGACCCAAGAAAAATTTTGGCTGATGTAGAGCGCCCACGGAGAGTTGGCCATTATTGCTCTCAGCGTTGTCTTTCCATGGTGCTCAGGTGTGGGAAACTATCAAATTTTGGCTTTCCATCATGCAGGAAGTTATTGAATTTTTGGTTTTTCTCTGCCTTTCCCCAAATATCTGTGCGAGAGGCCAAGGGCACAGGGCAGGCTGCCTGGCTTTGCTTTCGCACGTGTGCGGGCATCTGTCTAATTGGGTTTGGGGAAAGCTGTAGATCTGCTGGGTCCTGTTGGGTGTTGAACTGATCGAATGGGTGAGGAGACAGGGAAAAATCCTGCCTGAGTATGTCGCTGCGTGGCAGCCAGCCTCTCTCCCGGCCGCTGCAAGGCAGAGGGAGTTTGTAATTTTATGATTGCTCTTAAATCATGGAAGTCTCTGCCCGTTTTAAGTAAGCCATCAAGCAGTGGGAGAATTTGAGGAGTGGGGAAGCGGTTGTCTTCATTTGTCTTCATTCAGAGCGAAGCATAAATGCAGCAACTCAGTTATATTTCTGCCTTTGCAGAGTACCTTTAATTCTCTTTTTATTTTTTCCTATGTTTCACTCTCCAGTAACAATCCCATCTCCTTGCCCTTCTCAGCCAAGCTGCAGACTGAGGCCACACCATGATGCATTTCATATCGCTCTCAAAAAGACGTTTTAATTTAGTCGCTGGCAGTCAACGGTAAATTCACGTCGTGGCCTTGTACTAGTTGTGTTTAATTATGAAGCAACTCCAGATCTTTCAGCAGGTGTGGCGAAGCGTGTAAGTTTTTTTTCTACTGGCTGCATCCCTACCTTCCCCGCCTCTAGCAAGATTATCCAAGGAGTTTACAGGGTGCATAAAACACGTTTGTAGTTAAAATAAGCCAAATAACCTCGTGCATTGCTCTTTCCCCTTTGCCATGCCCAGGTGCTCTTTCGGCAGCTTTTATATTGACCTCAGGAAAAGCATCCCCACCTTTTCCGTTCCTGTGTCTTTGTGGGGGATGCTTTCTGATGGTATTTCATCCTCCTTAGCAAAATGAAGACTGTAATAAGGTAGAAACAAGCACATAAAAAAGCTCTCCAACCCCTTTTTCTCCATCCTAAAGAAGCAGAAAGTGGCACAAGTCCAATGAAAAAGAAAAAGGATCTCTGAAAGGTCGCTGCCAAGGGTTAATACCTATCGACTCTGCGGCACAGCTGACTTGCGGTAAATTGTTGCTACCTCTGTTTCACTTTGATATTTCATCAGTCTCCAACGCTCTACATTGGGAGCAGCTACAGAATAATAGGGCGTCAGTGTAGAGGTAGATGTTCCCTCCTAAGAGTATAAATCCAGAAGATCAACTATTTCAATCCTCAAAAATGCAGCATTAGACTTGCAACGGGCATTTTGCAAGTTGGCGTATTCATCTCTTGGTGACAGTGATGTTAAATGTTTCCTTGTGTAAAGGGCCTTGTTTTGCCAAAGTTCCCTTTTTCTTTGCAAGATTAATTTGTATTTGTTTGCTTTTTAATATCTAAGTTGCTCCAGGGGCTGGAAGGCGGTATATTCTCAAGCGGCTGACGCGTGCTTAATGTAGTAGAAAAGGGGAATAAAAAGGATTTTTCCATCTGCAGTCCATGACCTCTACGAGAGCCTGGTCTATAAATATCAATTTATGGAAGGAAAAACCAATAAAAGATAAATGCTTGCCTTTTACTTGATTAGCTCTGGGAAAGCTTGAAATGATTCAACTCCTCTATTTAGCATGATCCAGCTTTACAGCCGCCCCAGTGGGCAAGGACCTCCGGAGCCGGGCACATGCCTGTGTAGCAGCCGGTGATGTTTGCAGGGAAAAGGGGTTTCTCGCAGAAAATTTTGCTTGCAGAAGACCCTCGTTGAGCTGATGAATTATTTTCTCCATGGCCAGAGTTGGTTTTGTCGGGACCGTGATGCAGCGGGATGTGGTTAATCATGCGGTCGCCCTGCAAGGGCTCTTGAGCATCATTTTGTTGCTATTTTGCATCCTTAATTTTTTCCCTTGTTAAGCAAAAGTCAAATTGAGCCTTGCATGTTTGATTGCCCAGGAAAACGCGACTGGAGGAGCTGAGCTCCTTTCGAGTGCTCTGCAAGAGCCCAAAGTGCAACCTTTCCACCCCGAACCACACCACCAATCATGCACGTGCACACATACATATGCACACCCCGAAGGGAAAGCAGCTGTGGTTTTCCAGACCTTTTTCTTGTACAATAATGTGAAAATGAGCGTTTGAGCCCTTTCTTTCTTTGTTCCAAAAACGTTCCTGACTCTGAGCCTGCTTCCTTTTGCCAAGCGAGCGTTTCCCAGTGAGGAGGATATTGCAATTAGATTTCGGCCATGTCAGCCCCATTGAGACCTATTCCTAATGCAAAACCGTTTAATCCAAGAGAAAAAGCGGAGCTGCTACGAGACAGCGAGCAAAGCTGGGGTTTGGCAAGGATGGAGCTGAGCACCAAAAAAACCTCGTAATAAATCTTACGGCACCTACATGGGAGACAGAAATACGTGGCTTATGCCTAGCAGAAGGCTCTGCACTGGACCAGAACCACAGAAATTGGAGCGTAGCCCCAAGTACTTGTGTATATTTAACTTCCTCAAGTGCTGGAAGAGAAGGAATAACCATTAGTTGCGTTAAAGTATCCCAAACTTCCATATTAATCTAATTTGGGTCTTGTGATGTTGGCAGGAATTTGGCAATTAGGATCGATGCTGTCTTGTTTGAAATTGTTTTAAAAAAGTCTTCGTTGGCTGCTGGCAGCTCCAAGGGGGAAGAGGGCTTTGGGCTTTGAAGGAGAGAGAAACGTTGATCCCAAGAAGTGCAATATTAGGGTTTATCTGAGACGGATTGTGCTGGAGAACCAAGATGCTTTGCTGCCATCACAAAAAAAGAGCGGAGAACAGGCGCTGAAACCACCAGACCATGTATTTCCAATCTATCTGGATATCTCTTGTAATATAAAGATGACTCTTCATGCCTTGGAGTAATAGCCGTGGATCAAGTGAGACGTTTGCTGTGTCAGGGGCGATAACTATTTCATTTCTGGAGTGATGAGTTAGGAACAGAAGCAGCACGGTGTCCTTGCTCAGCCAGACGGGCCAACACCCATAGCTTAATCACGATACAGCACCCAGTTATAATTAGTGTCACTGTTCTAAGTTGGCTAGAAATAATTGCAAGTTCAGGAACAAAATAACGGGGGTTTTAATTTGTTTTTTGAGCTTTTCCTGTTTTGCATAGAGAAAAACTCTTCCTGTAGCAGGGACTTGCAGATACCCATGGGAACATTCTGGGATTAAATGAGCATTTATAATTTGGGTTTAAAATGGGAAAATAAATCTGATTATCTTCCCTGCAAGTGGAGAGAAAGACCAGTTGCCTGGCTGTGTGTCCCTGCATGGCTTTGCTGGGGCAGGGAGGTCCGTCTCCCAGGGACTCCCGGGGACAGGAGAAATACAAATTAGGGGTTTGATTAAGCAGCACGGGAGGATATGAAAAGCTGCAAGTGGTGAATATTTTCCCATCCTCCTAGCTGGCCCCTGGGAGTCCGAGACAAAATCCCTGAGGATTTGTGCTTTGGAGTGCTTATTTTTTTTCTCTCTGATGGACATGAATTTCCTTTAGCTTCTTGGATGGGTTGGATGGGAGAATTTACGGCTAAATTTTAGATATTTAACTTCTTCTTAAAAAAACAACACAAAACAAAAAAACCCCAAACACCCAGCATATCTCCTTCCTGGTGCAACACCGTGTGCTTAATGGGTTAAAATATAATAATCCAGGTATCTGCATGGCCACAGGGATTTTCGTTGCTTTTAATAGTGACGCTTTGGCTTGGCAAAGTTTCCCTTTTGGATTTGTGCTCGAGGTGGGCAGCGTGCCGCAGCGGGGAGGAAAACACGTGCGAAGGGAAGGATGCAAGAAGGATGTGCGCGTGCAAGCCTTTGCACGCTTCCCTCCTGCGTCTGGCTGGGGCAGCGCGGCAGTAATTCTCAAATAACGTCATCTGCAGGGTGGTTTTCTCCATAGCTGTCACCACGGGGCACCCCTGACTTTGGGTGCCACCAGTATGAGCTGGCAGTGTGCCCAGGTGGCCAGGAAGGCCAACAGCGTCCTGGCCTGTATCGGCAATGGTGTGGCCAGCAGGAGCCGGGCAGGGATCGTGCCCCTGATCCTGTGTTCAGTGTTGGGCCCCTCACGACAAGAAGGGCGTTGAGGTGCTGGAGCGTGTCCAGAGAAGGGCGATGGAGCTGGGGAGGGGTCTGGAGCACAAGTCTGATGAGGAGCGGCTGAGGGAACTGGGGGTGTTCAGTCTGGAGAAGAGGAGGCTGAGGGGAGCCCTCATCGCTCTCTACAACTGCCTGAAAGGGGGTTGTGGTGAGGTGGGGGTTGGTCTCTTCTCCCCAGTAACCAGCGACAGGATGAGAGGAAACGGCCTCCAGCTGCGCCAGGGGAGGTTTAGATTGGAGATTAGGAAAAATGTCTTCACCGAGAGGGTGGTCAAGCATTGGCACAGGCTGCCCAGGGAGGTGGTGGAGTCACCATCACTGGAGGTGTTCAAAAAACGTGTGGATGTGGCGCTTCGAGACATGGTTTAGTGGGCATGGGGGTGTTGGGTTGATGGTTGGACTTGATGATCTTGAAGGTCCTTTCCAACCTTAGTGATTCTGTGATTCTGTGAAATTACAAACAACATTAGCAATGCAGCTTGCAATATATATAGTGCAATTGCTATTGCAATATCGTTGCAAAAATTATATATATATACGTATCATATTGTGACTTCCCGGTGGGTCTGCATGCTTTATTGATTCTCTCGATGTGCGAAGGTCTTCGGTTTTATTTTGTGTACGCAATCGCTCTTGGATACTGTAAGAGCAGCTACTCAATGATCTCGTACCCCCGTGCAAACCCTGCGCATTTAAATCCCCCGGCAAAAATGGGGAGCGTGGCAGACCAGAGACCTCCCGAGGCAGCGGTGGTTTCTGTGCTTTGCTGAATGCCAGCCAGGAAAAACGGGCAATTTTCTAACTTTAAATGACCCTCAAGCAGTAACCCCCAAGCAGTTCTCCCCTCACTCGCTGGTGATTACCATCACGGGGAGGGGAAGTCGGGGAGAAACGCAGCTTTTTAATTTCTTTAGCCTCGTACTTGATTCATTTTGTTAACGTGGTCCTTTGCAATAACGCCTTCCTTCATATTGCCGTGCAATAAAATCAGTGCTCACGTTAGAAGTCCCTTTACTTCTGGAAAACATGTTGCCCTCGGTGCCGGCGATATTGAATGCATCTATATTCCTGACAGCTTCTTCTGTTTTCATTAAGTGAAAGAGGATATTTAGAGGCGAGCTGGAATGGAAGTTGGTTTATAACTCAGAGGAGAGCGAAGGCTGTGGGATGCAGACTGCTGATTGAGAACTTGGGGTAATTTTATTCCGTTCAAGAAACCTCCAGTTTAACTGAGACGCTGCGTCCTGCGGTACCTTGGATGTCGCATCGCCGTCGGGAGGAGGTGATGTCCCCAAACCTGGCTGGTTTTGCAGGATTGGATTAATTTGCATTAAATTTATTGTAAACACAAATCTTTTCTGAATTACTCTTTGGTTTAGGGAGGAAAAAATGACATGCTTGCCTTAAAATTTGTCATTTCAAAGGGTTTTTCTTGCTTGGTCCTTTCACTCTATCAGCAATGGGATTTTAATCTGCCCAGTGATGACACGCTAATAGAAGTAAATAATGCTAAAGCTTGACATACATTTACATTTATTTCAAAACTTTTAAAATCCTTAAAGGCTCTGCTGTTGAAAATGGATTAGCACAATCTTATTATCCGGATCCGCGTGGGAGCGGTTGTTCCGGGCTCTCCCTACAGTTCATGGAGAGACGGAGCCATCTCCAAGCATCGTCCAACCAGCCTTGGCCTCCTGCATCCCTGCCTGGAGGTTCCTGCAGCTTTTGTGGACAAAAGAGGGGATGGATACGGGATAGGAGAGCAGGAACCCAGCTGGCGTTTTCATGACAAAGCCCTTGGTTTTGCTATTTTTGCTTCGCCCAAAGCGAGGTCCATCCCTGGTGACCGCGAGGTTGCACAGCCCAATTTTGGTCCCGCGCACGTTCTCGGGGAGCGAATGCGTCTTGCACGGTTTGAGCCAGAGATGAATGCTGTCTCCGTACCCAGGCTGAAATCATTCCGTAGAGTAGTTGGGAAGGAGTTGCCTGCTGAGACAGATATATAACACGCAGCGCAGCAGCGAATATTTTGAGGGCAGCAGGGAGCTACGCAGATACAGGCACAAAAATTACCGGGGCTGTAAAATAACCTGATTTCAGGCCATTTGGATAACAAAAGGAGATGCTGAGATGTTTCCAGACTTCAGTTTTTCTTTCAGCATCTGCAGTTGTCTTTCGCAGCATAGAACCCTAAAGGCACGAATCCAGCTTTTCTGTAATTCCCGCAATCAGGAAAGCCCTGCTAGCCGCAAGAACGCAGCAGCCTCCAGCACCTCATCCGTCCTTTTGGTGATTAATCGTATTATCAGTAATTAGGTGGAACATCAGATAAGTGGGATGCTCCTGGAGGGTTGGTAGGTGCAATTAGGAAGGTGGGAACGGGGCAAGCTCCAACTGAAGACTTGAAGGAAGGGCTCTCCGTGTTGGGAGAGCATCTCAAGGGGCATTGTCTTCCGCTGCTTCTGACTTGTAGAAGGAAGAGCTGTCGACGCAGGGGGTCCCCCGGGGATCCACCTCCAGGGGAATTTGGGAGGGAAAAATAAATACTGAGCTGTTTTGGGGCGCCTTCTGTGCATCGTGTGGATGGCGGGGTATTTCTGCATCTCTGAAAGGCAGATTAATAAAAACCCTGGTGATGTTTGTGTTTGCCTGTTTGCTTTCAGCTCGCTGGGTGACACTTACCTGATTTGCTTTTTCCCTGCTGTTTTCTGCAGCCTCCTCTGGGCAAACACGTTTCCCTTTCCACGGCGGGATAAAATGGTCCCTAATTTAAGATGCGTTGCAACCCTTTGCTCTTATCCCCATTTATCTTTCTCTTAATGTTCCCACTTTCCAGACTATTTAATGGATCGATTAGGACCCAGGGAAATGATTAATAACATTTTTCAGCTCCAAAACCAATAGTGCAGGTGATTCCAGCTGATGGATGGTACGGGTGCAGCTGGGTTATTTATTGACTCTTTGTTGCAAGGAATGGTTATGCAGAAAAATTGGTTAACTACTGGCCTCGAAAATGAGAGGGAAAGCCCTGAGGCTCAAGTTGGTCTGGCCCGTCTCCATCCCCTCTCGTGCATTGAAAAGACCTATAAAGCTGCACTGTTCGTGTCCCGGTGCCAACCCCTGCAATATCCCGAAGCATTTGGAGCTTATAGAGAATAAACCTTATTTATAAGGATCAGTAGTCAAGGTGGGCAAAGGATTAGTAGAAACCATGCAATCTGCGCTGAAAGCGCTCTGATCACCACCGTGCCCCTCATCGGCGTCTGGTCTGCAAATAGCTCCTCGCGAAGGCTTATCGCCCAGTGTTCGTAGACGCCGCAGCGTAGCACCGCACGGGAAACGTCAGGTGGAATCAAAGCGGTGTGCTTGAAATCTTGTGCTGATAAAAATGCCTTTTTTTTTTTCTCCTTCCTTTTCCTAAAGATATAAAGCGTATTTTTTATTTCCTGACAGCCAGCGGGGAAATGGGAAACAACCTGGGTGGCACCAGGCTTGCAGCAATATCTTAATTTTATCTTAATTATTTATCTTAATCTTAATTTTAGCAAGAGCCTGGACCTCTGCCTCTTTGCAATGCTCACGGTGACGTCCAGGTAAACCACATCCCTCTGTCAGGGCTGATGTGGGGGGTCATGAGAGGGACGTGGCCATCAATGGGTTTAACAACGAGCCTGTTGCTTTGGCAGAAGATTTTACTGGGTATTGTCCTCTCTTGTCTCGTGGCCAGGTCTGGAAGTTCGGGTGACAGCATCCCTTGCAGGAGAAGACCTTCAGGAAGGGTTTGCATGACTATAGTGGTTTTAACGCTCGTATTTTGCAGGTGATTGGCCTCGTGATGGCTTGGCTGTATTGGCAAAAGCTCAATGACATCTACTCCAAGCTGGACACCGTTGACTTCAAGATCCTGGAGATGCGGGATTTCAGCTTCGGGGCGGTGGACCTGAGCGGCGCTGGCTGGTGCTGGTGCTTGCCCAAGGAAGGGGGCTACATTCCCGTCAATGCTGAGGATGAGGAAGACGAGGAGGAGGAAGGCGCCATTTGCCACAGCAAAGTGTGGCAGGTGGTGGACTGAAAGGTGAAGGACTGAAAGGCAGCTCGGAGCAAAGCTCTTAGGGAGGCGGCGGATGTTGAACATGGAAATAATGTGATTTATCTTCTCTGGTTCAGGAGATACTTTGGGAGAAGCTGTAAAGTAACACTGGAAGGTTATAAAAAGCGCAACGCACTGTGTGGGCACATGAGCTCCCTGGGGTCCTTTTACTACTTTGGCGTTTTGAAGCGTTTGTACATGTCCTTATTGGGGTTTGAGGGGGGTTTTTTACACAATAAATGTAACTTCCGTTGCGTTTTGCAAAGTCGCTTCCACTCGCTGCACACCAGTCGGGCCATCGCGGAGGGGACTGGCACCGTCGTCATTGCGCTTTGAAGTGTCTTTATAGTTATATTTAGCCGATCTCCTGAAAAATAGTGGCCCAGGCCCCAGAAAGACGTAGCTAAAGGAGAAAACGGAGCAGCTTGCTCTGCAGAGCCTTTCCAAAGGGCTTTTCCAGGAATCGAATCCCCGGGGAGGCACAACTTGCACCTCCTGGAGAAAGACGGATGTTTGGGCAAGGCTTGCGCAGAGGGAAAACACCCATTTCTGAAGGTTTCCAGCTCTTCCCCATGAACTGTGGCTTCAATTTTTATCCCCAGGCAAGGAAAAGGAGAGCCCAGCAATTTTAAAAACCAAGACAGCTTTATTGCGGCAACGTGCTGCCCCGGGGGATGGTGGTAACTCCCCTCTGCTGGAGACCAACCTCTAATGACCAGGTAAGGAATTACCTGTTATAACATTTATTTTTTAGCACTACAATGTGGTGATCAAGGCGGCAATTCCCTCCCACATCACTCAGGATACAGGAATTAAATAGCCGGCGTGGGTTGCATCCAACCCTGGACCGGTAAGTTGAGCCGCGCTGGGGAATGGGCTCGCAGAGGGAAACCTCAAGCGAGGTGACTTGCAAAAATACTAGTGTGTTTTTATCAAAAAAACCTTAAAAACAGCAAAACCCCCTGCAAAGCTGCTCGGGCTGCTCTGGTGCGGGCTCGGCAATAAGCTACCGACGGCAAAGCTTCCCCCAGGCAGCCGTGAGTCAAACGCAGAGGGAACGTAGATCAGGGACCCGTTTTCTTTCCGAAGGTGCCAAAATCCCACGGGGCGGCTGTAGTCGCCGCATCTATCCAGCGAGAGGAATGATCTCAAAAGCGAAACGCGAAGGCAAAAAAAAAGCCTATTTTTCAAAAGAGCAACGTGTCTGCAGCACCGCTCAGCGAAGGAACCGCCGGGTTTATCAGTGGTGCTTTTTATTAATAAGGGTATTTTGGAAGCCGGAGGCTGGCTTCCTTTATTTGGATGCCCGAGCAGGAAAAGGTGGGTGAGCGCCGGGCTCTGTCTCCCTCTTCTGACTGTTTCCAGGCTTTATTTTTTCAACAAAATGAGAAGCAATCCCCAACACAGGCCTGAAAGAACACTTTTTGAACCGTTTATTTTTTTTACTCCCCATAAATGACATTGAAAATGGAGCTGTGAACCACAAGAGCTGAGCAGTGAGGTTATTGAATTTTTTTACCAAAATTGGGTTATTTGGGGGTTTTTTTTTGCAAGTGGAGAAGGTAAAACCTGCAGCCCAGGGAAATTGGGTGAGCGTGATTATTTAAGGGATAACAAAGTTGCTGCCTTTACCCGGGCAGCTCGCGGGCTCCGGGGATTTTGATCTTCTTCCTTCTTCCCCCTCTTTCCAGGTTTAGTAAAACCTTCAGAAATACAAGCTGATAAATTCACCCTGCTCTTTGTATTTCCATGTATTCAGAGAAAGAAAGTTCATTTCTATTATTTTCTCTTTATTTACAGGACAAGCAGCCACCAACATCTTTCTCCCATTTTCCCGGCCGGGCAGAGCCCCCGGCTGCTGGACCCCGGCACCGGCAGCATTGCCCGGGTTGGATGCAAGCAGGTTTTCATGCCTGGATTAATACTGGTTTTCGGCAGGCAGCAAGTGATGGGAGATGGGGAGAAGTTGATTCATGCACCAGCTTGGACACCCGGATCCCCCGGTCCCACGGACGGTTGGTCTGCAAATGCCTGGAATACGGGAAAGGTGGATTGAGCAGGAAAGCGCGCTTTGCAAAAGCTTTTCTCCTCACTTACAAACATGCCTCGTAACTCTAAATAAAGAGGATGCCAATAAATGTTCCCTAATTCACCCTACATTTTGCATCTTGAAATCGCTGCTGCTCCAGACCTGACCCCGCTACACACAGGAGAGCAAGTCTAATAAAACAGGAGCTGGGAAAAAAATGGGAGCAGCTATAAAATATCAAACAGGTTTTGCTTTACTTCTGCTGAGACTCTGGGTCATGCCGTCAAATAATATTCCCAGAGGTGAGAGAAAAACCGCGGTATCGGATGACCTTAAAGCCCAAAGTCTGATTTCCCAGTCGTCTTTTTTTGCTTAACGATGGGGCCAGCCATGATGAAGTGCCGAGCGCCGCTTTGATGCAGATTTATTGATACCCCTGTTAAAAGGCTAAGCGGAGGCGAGCAAGCCGGGCGTTAAATCGAAGCGGACAGCTCAGGAAGCAAAGTGGGCGTACTCGTGTGCCCGAGAGCTTGCTTTTCATTAAATCAAATTTACGGATGTTCAACACATTAAAAGCAAAACATGGAAATTGCAAAATAATTGGGTGTGCAATCCCTCGTCAGAAATCCCCCCCAAACTGTATTTGATGGTCCAGGGGCTGATCCTGTCGTCCCCAGAGGGTTTAGGAGCTTTCTCACTGATGGTGATGCTCCTCTGCACCTCCTTGAAGAATTTCCTTCCACCCCTTAAGATCAGATGTACATGATATTGCACAGCGCATAAAAATAAAAGCAGTTTCCCCCCCCAAACCCCAGCGAACGAGGCAAAACTGATGCAAAAAACCCACCCCAACAACCCCAGACCTTGCAAGCTGGGGATGGACAACTTGAATTTTCCTACGTCCCAGTGGTCTGATATCTAGAGGCCATCGCTGCGCAAGACCAGATCTCCGCTGGCTTGGACGTCCCAGCCTCTCCGGATGTCTATTTGCATCCCGTGATGCCTTTCTGCTCCCAAAGTCAATCGGCGTTGCCCAAAATACATTTTAACCTGGGAGCTACAGAGCGTTGGGCAGTAGACGTCAATACAATGGTTGCAAGAGCAGCTTTATCTGAAGGCAATCTGGGCTCCCGCACCCACCGGCACCTGTGACTTTACTCCGCAGCCCCGTCCTCCAATTTCTGAACGTTCTTGGAGAGCTTGAGGTGAGTTTATTAATGGTAAAACTTCTTTTTGTGGAACTGAGGGCTGGTGGGGGCAGTGGGGTTTAATTGGCAAAGATAACAGCGCTCTTCTTTCCCTCCCCTTATTTCTACAGCGCTTACAGTCATGCTTTCAAACAGTTCTAGCCTGTGTTGTACTTGTGTTTGTATGCAAGGGTTTGAGGGGGAAAAAGCTTTATATGTGAAAAATTAGAGGAGAAAATCCTAGGCTATATGACTGTCATAAATCAGCCATATTCAATCAGGACCTTTCATTTATCTATTTATACCTAACAAAGCGTGGGTTTATCAGAAGATGAGTTATTTTTGCTGCCCGACAGAGCTGCGATAGAGCTCTCACCAGCCAAGCTAGATTGCAAAAAAAAAAAAAAAAGTCGTATTTCTTCCCAATATAGACCCAGCTGAAGGGTGGTGTATCCCCATCCGTCATCTGGGGACCCTGACTTAGCGCTGAAGCTCGTCGGGAAATCTCTTGGTCGAGGGTGTTGGTGACACTTCAGCTGTTAGAAGATACCGGCTCATTTTTAGAGCAAAACTATTTATGCCTGCAGCTGGGTGGGTATTTTGCTATTTCTCCTGCCCGCACCACCTTCCTAAAATCCTCAGAATTAGTCCCATAAAGTTATTCCCAGAAAGCCAAGGTTTCGGACTGGTGATATCCCGTAATACACCAAGGTTTGGGGAACGGTTGTCCATCCAGAGGTGTTTGCTCCTAAAATAAATTGGTTCCTTCACCTATGCAAAAAATGTTGGGTTAATGTGGTCCAAAAAAATAATCCCAAATCTGGAAGACACCAAGAGGTGTCTTCCAATAGCAACTGGGTTAAGGCTGGAGCCCGTATTGGTCTTTGTCTTGGGGGAAAATGGGTCAAGATTTCAGCAACCCAAGCACAGCCGACCTGGCCAACCCTGGACCCTTCCACCTATTTAGGTGCACACCCTGTTCGCTTTATATTTTAAATGTATTTGGCTTTTTTTCCAAGGAAAATTGAGATTTTTCCTTCCCTAAAATAGATAGCTAATGGTGTGACACCGCTATGGATGCAAGCAGCCGGAACGGGGGACGCAGAGCGGCTGGCTCGCCTACTGCTCTCAAAGGGACTTTGGGAGGCATCGACCGGGCTGCCATGAACAGTAACCGTTCTCCCGTCCAAGTCAAGTGTGAAAGGCAATCACTGGAGGTCAGATAATTAGGAGATTAATTAGCATCTGCGATAAAATCCAAAGGAACTCGTACTGGGAATAAAACAGCAGGTTTGAAGGAAGGTATCTGGAAGGGGCAGCGTGTGTCCGTTGTAAAACCTGTGCTTAGGGGATGAGGAAAATGGAACTCTGCTTCTGCAAAACCCCTTTAATCTGGGCAGGTTCCCCCTGAAAATTAAACGGGAAGGACCCTGTGCTTTCACCAGGGCCACGCATGAGGATTCCCACAGCGGGGAGCAGCCGGCGAGCACGCAAAGAAACACCCTTTAAAACCTCCCTCCTTTCTCCTCCCCACGGCTCAGCTCTCTCCGAGCGGCAGGACCATGCTGGAGGATGAGGATGGGATGAGCGAGAGGGGGCTCAGCAGCTCGAGGAGGAGATACGACGATGAGGAAGGTGAGCAAAATCCCGGGGATGCCCCGAATGGCAGCGGGGTCTTCCCTGCCGGCTGATGCATCCGGTCTCCCGGCGCTCGGCTCGGCGCATCCCATGCACGACATGGGAAAAGCTCCCGTGGATGTTTTAAG